ATTCAATTATTCCTTTCTTACGAAGCTCCTCAGAAGATCACTCGACAGATAGCCACGATAGACGTTCAAATTAATTCATTATCATCCGCGAGTACAGTCTCTTAAACACGCTCAGGGGGGGGGGGTTCCATCACACCACAACCCAGGGGGAGGGAGGGTGGGAGAAGGGGGTGGGACGGGGGGTGGGGAGAGGGGAGAGGAAGGGAGGGAGGGAGGGGGGGGATGGAGAGAGAGGAAGGAGGGAGGGAGTGGGGGTGGAGAGAGAGAGGAAGGGAGGGAGAGAGTGGGGGGGGGATGGAGAGAGGGAAGATATAAGAGGAAGTGGACTATCTTACCTCAGGATGACTCCAATTAATAAGGGAGAAGGTAAACAGGGAGGGTAGGGCGTGGACCGGTCATAAATCACCGCTAATGTACTGCTCTCTGGCCACTGCTGACACTAAGAGCTCTCCAATTTGCATGTTATCGACGTCATTAAAAGGAGTTTGGAACAAAGAACATGCATAACTCACACGACACATATACACACACACACACACACACACACACGCACACACACACGCACACACACACACACACACACACGCACGCATGTATGTACGTACTCCCACACACACACACACACACTAAGGTCATCACCCCCCACTTTGATGTGTGTGTGTGTGTGTGTGTGTGTGTGTGTGTGTGCAGCTAAACGAGCAAGAGTTATGTCACGCTGTCATGTCTTCTACCACACTTCACACACACACACACACACACACACACACACACACACACACACACACACACACACACATTGTTCCGTCACTTCTACTTTATAAACATGATTCTTGTACTACTCAAATATCTGTTCCTACCATTAGTTCTACTCCTCTACCATGACTTACCATGATCAAACTAGTCATTGTGGTGTCAGAAAATTTTGCCCCGCTACCATTCTTTCTTGTACCGTTTATCTTATATGTGCTACTGTATATTCTTTTTCCTGTTGCCATAATGCTACACACCCAACCATCATGCACAGAGCTACCATGCATTCTATCCTGTTATCATGTTAGGTTAGGTTAGGTTAGGTTAGGTGCTGGTTCACACTCCGTAATAATCGTGAAACTCAAGAATACAATAAATAAGTGAATAGACACAATGAACAATAAACGAAGTGAAAACGAGAGATTAAAAGGCGGTAAGGAAAGAAGGAGATAGGGAGAGAAGGAAGAAAGGGAGAAGGAGGGAAGAAGAAAGGGAGAGAGGGAGGTGAGGGTGAGACTTACAGGCAGTGATAATACGGTGGCGGGGGGGTTGGACAGGCAGGGACAGAGCGAGCGAGGTGACAGGTGACAGGCGGGGCGGGGTGAGGCAGGAGGCTGTCTGGGTGATGACAGCCGGTGACAGCCTTGACGGCACGACCCGGGATACCTGCCATGTAAAAGTTGAAGCCTCCCTCCATTATTAATGCGGAGTTCTGCGGCCACGGGAGAAGACTCGCTTAAAAACCTGCTGAGAGAAGGTGTGTGTGTGTGTGTGTGTGTGTGTGTGTGTGTGTGTGTGTGTATGTATGTGTGTGTGTGTGTGTGTGTGTGTGTGAAAGCAGTAAATAAACCAACAGTAACACCACCACCAACAGTAGCAGCAACAGTAACACCACCACCAACAGTAGCAGCAACAGTAACACAGTCAGCCGAGACAGTTCCCCAGGCCGGAGTTAGTTCACATATATTTCAATGACTATTTGTTATGTCAGGATGAAGCTTTACCGCAGCTACGTGTTGGTTAAACGGGTGTTGTCTTACTCTACTGTGCCGGGAAAGAGAGAAAGAGAGAGAGAGAGAGAGAGACCATTGTTACCATCCACATATCTCTACGCCTTAGTATTCAATGTTAGCTCCAGTTTGCTTGGTTCGCTTTCAGCTTTTAATTTGCTATTTTCATTCCAGGTTCGACCGTCAGATGGCGTGTTGTTGTGAGTTAGTTCACCCTGCAGTCGACAGATGGCGTGGAAAGGGATTTATTTTTCCAATAAGACCAAGAAGTGATGTGAATTCTTTGCAAGTAAGTACAGTAGGACAGTACTCTGCCTCATTGTTAATTAATTCTTCGTGTAAGAAGTGAATGGCGAGTGACGTGAGTTTAGTTCTCCCAGTAACTAACAGATGGAGCTTATCATGTTTTAATTTTCCCACTTAACCAACAGATGGCACTTATCGTAGTTTAGTTCTCCCAGTAACTAACAGATGGCGCTTATCATGTTTTTATTTTCCCACTTAACCAACAGATGGCACTTATCGTAGTTTAGTTCTCTCTGAAACCAACAGGTGGCGTTATGTACCACAGCAGCCATTGTGATCCAGCTCTTCCCCTCTATGTACACCAACGAACGATTCTTTCCCTTTTTTCCCCACTTTTTTTTTTTTTACTATTGACGCCGACCTATTGTGCTGTTGTTGCCCTGTGTGAAGGCCAGAGTGAGGTCATAAATTTCTTCCAGAAGCCAAAAACTGCATAGAAAACGGCTGTAAGTGGTAAAAAAAAATAATAGTTTTCAAACCTCAGTCACCGCTGTCTTGTCCCTGTGTTAGCTTAAGAGTCGTGGTTACTTTCTCTCTACTAGTAACTTTAAGTGATACAAATCTAAGCACGTAGCACACAAACGGGGATAATACGTTATATTCATGACCAACCACTAAGCTAATTCAATAATCTATGTATACAAACAAGTTGGAATAACTCTTTAACTCCTCAAAGAAAGTATGGACTGTAGAGAGCGCCATCTTCTTCTTAAACTCTAAGGCACTCTTGAGGTTAATTTTGTTTGAAGGAAGATACTGTACTTTTAACAGGGTCTTCGCTCAAGTTCTTACTTTACCAAGCGAATAATGAGGCAGTAATATATATCTCTCTGCGAACGTACAAAGGGACACTCAAGAGGTCTTTTCAATAACCAGGAGTTAGGTGACAGCTTTACATGACTTCCACAGACCAACTGTTTTGTGCTATAAACTGACGCTATTGTGGAGGGTGAATTACAACGTTTGGGAGGGAGGTGGGTGAGGTGGGAGTGAGGAAAAGGGGGGCAGTGGGATAGGCAATGGGAGGGAGGAATAGTGGGCCAAGCCAGGGATGGAGGATGGAGGGAAGGGGGGGGGGAAGTCGTTCAGCACCACTAAGCTAATTCACAAGAAAGCGGACGAAGTTTCATTTTTCTCTCCGCTGTGCAAATAATAAAACCCCTTTTAAACTTCATGCGGGATTTTATGCGGTCGTAAATGTTCCCAGAAGTAAAAGCTCTCGAGATAAAGTAGACTTGAGTGTATGGACTTGAATGTATGTTGTCCAGTAGCTATATAAGTAAGTGTGTGATGGTTTTTCTTAAAGTCTTTCTTAGGCTGTATGAGGCAAATGAATGAGTGCCTCTACTTTAAACTTGTATGTAAACAAAAACAAATAATGTAGCTTAATCATGACCTTTAACCCCCCACCCACCTTCCCCCCACCTACCTCCCCCACCCACCCCCCCACCCTACCTTCCCCCACCCACCTCCCCCACCTCCCTTCCCCACCCCCACCTTCCCCCCACCTACCCCCCCCACCACCCCTTCCCCCCCACCCACCTTCCCCCACCCACACCCACCTTCCCCCCCACCTACCTTCCCCCACCACCTTCCCCCCCCCTACCTTCCCCCACCTACCCCTTCCCCCACCCACCTTCCCCCCCACCTACCTCCCCCCACCTACCTCCCCCCCACCCACCTTCCCCCCCCTAGTATTATGTGTATGTACTGTTACTGTGTTTAAATATCTCTCTACCTTTACCTGTGTGTACACCTGGATCTGTATTATTGTTTTAAGGTAATTAAGTTGAATTAGAATTAAGATTTATTTTTAATAATTATTACCCTGGCTTACCTTGTCTTCAACACACGGGAGATAATAATGTTATGTCGCCTCTCTAAAGGTTAAAACAGTCCTGAAACTAATTTTTAATATTGGTAATTATATATTTTTTTGTTTATTTACTTGTTAATATTTGTCGTCTATGGTTATTTTTGTACCGTACTCTAATATTTCACGACACTACCACGCCATCATACTACCTCATCACCTCACTATACCATCACACTACACAACCACGCCATCATACTACCTCATCACATCACTATACCATCACACTACACAACCACGCCATCATACTACCTCATCACATCACTATACCATCACACTACACAACCACGCCATCATACTACCTCATCACATCACTATACCATCACACAACACAACCACTACTTCTTTACCACACCACACCACCATACCTCACCACAATACCAAACTACCACATCACATTTTTCTCATCATACCACCATACCACCACACCTCACCACACCTCCATTACTCCACATCACACCTCATCACACCTCCACACCTCCTCCACCCCTTCAAACCTCCAAACCTCCAAACCTCCAAACCTCCAGACCTCCAGACCTCCCCTCCACATATCTCCAGTGACCTCCATGAATATAAAATTGCCAGCAGGGGCGAGCAAAGTGGTCGAGAGATTGACTTATCATGTCCACAACTCTGCTTGGGGAGAGAGAGAGAGAGAGAGAGAGAGAGAGAGAGAGAGGGAGAGAGAGAAGAAGAAGAATAAATATAACAAATAAATCAAACAAAGCGATAATAAAGGAAGAATAGGGGAATAGAAAGAAGGGGAAAGATAGAGAGAATGAGAGATAAAAAGACAGAGAGAATAAATAAGAAGAGGAAGGAACGAAGATAATAATGAAGAAGAGAGGGGAGGAAAGAGTGAGAGAGAGGTGTGGGAGGATTGGTTTTGCTGGAAGGAGTGGAAGAGAGAAATGGAGATAAGAGAATGTAATGATGATGAGAGAGGAAGAGAAGGGGGAGGAGGAGGAAGGGAAGAAGAGTAGGGGGAGAAAGTGGGGTGGAGAAGGGGTGGGGAGGGGGGAAGTCTATCAAGTACTAACTCTGTCGTCATATTGTGCGTTATGACCCCAGACCAGGCCATAAAGGGCAGTGCCAAGGATAGTGCCACTGAGGTCATGGGTTAGTTCATCACAGTGTTAACAAGGAAGTGTCATAGTAGTGTTAGGAAAGTGTTTGGGACGTACTAGGAAAGTGTCACGGAGGTTGTAAGTTAGTGTTAGGAAAGTGTCTGGAAGTGTCAAGAAAGTGAGAGGGAAATACTAGGAACGTGACAAGGAAATGCGAAGGAAAGTGTCAGGTAAGTAGCATAAGAGTGTTAGGTTTGACACTTTCCAAACACATCCTAGAGTCCAGATACTTTTTTGACACCTCACATACATTTCTTGATACTTTCCTGACACTTCCTTTGACATTTTATCCCTAACACTTACTTAAAACTTCATATCTGACACTTTCCTGGTACTTTCTTGTACCTAAAACTTCCCCAGTACTTCTCTGCCACTTCAACCCTGACACTCCCCTTCTCTGACACTTCCCTGACACTTCTGGATACTCTCTTCCACTGACACTCCCCCTGACACTTCCTTCACACCTCACACTTTATTCACAAGTCATTTTTTTCTGACACTTCCTTGACACCTTTTTCCAGTGACACCTTAACCCTGACACTTTCCTGACACTTTCCTCATATTTCCGGCTGACGTCTCATGTCACGTACTTGAAAGCATTAGTATTGTGAGCGCGTGAGAGGAAAGAGTGTGTGGGAGAGTGAGAGTGTGTGGGAGAGTGAGAGTGTGTGGGAGAGTGAGAGTGTGTGGGAGAGTGAGAGTGTGTGGGAGAGTGAGAGTGTGTGGGAGAGTGAGAGTGTGTGGGAGAGTGAGAGTGTGTGGGAGAGTGAGAGTGTGTGGGAGAGTAAGTGTGTGTACGTGTGAGAGCATGAGTGTGAGAGAGTGCGGCAGTGCGAATGTGAGAGTGTGTGAGTGTGTGAGTGTGAGAGAGTATGAGAGTGTGTGGGTGTGAGAGTTGGATGTGTCAGGGGTCAGAGGTCACTTGTTACTGTCTATGTAACCTTTTACGTTTATATAAAGACATAAATATTCACCAACTACCTGTTCTCCCAGCCTCTCCTAGCTTCTCCCAGCACCACCCTCTCCTAGCTTCTCCCAGCACCACCCTCTCCTAACCTCTCCCAGCACCACCCTCTCCTAACCTCTCCCAGCACCACCCTCTCCTAACCTCTCCCAGCACCACCCTCTCCTCCTCCCTCTCCCAACCCTCCCCCTCTCCCCAGCAGTACCACCCTCCTAACCTCTCCCAGCACCACCCTCTCCCCTCCCAGCACCCATCCCAACCTCTCTCCAGCACCACCCTCCTAACCTCTCCCAGCACCATCTCCCCTCCTCCCAGCACCATCCTCTCCCAACCTCTCCCAGCACCATCCTCTCCTAACCTCCCAGCACCATCCTCCCCCTAAACCTCTCCAGCACCATCCTCTCCCTAACCTCTCCCAGCACCACCCTCTCCTAACCCTCCCAGCCTCCTAACCCCTCCAGCACCATCCCTCTCCCCTCCTTCCCAGCACCATCCCTTCCTAACCTCCTCCAGCACCATCCTCTCCTAACCCTCCCAGCACCACCCCTCTCCTTGAACCTCTCCCCAGCACCATCCCTCTCCCAACTCTCCCAGCACCACCCTCCTAACCTCCTCCCAGCACCTCCCCCTAACCCCCTCCCAGCACCACTCCCTCCTAACCCTCCCAACCTCTCCCAGCTCCCAGTACCACCCTCCTAACCTCTCCCAGCACCATCCCTCTCCTAACCTCCTCTCCCAACCCCTCTCCCAGCACCAACCTCCTCCTGGTAACCATCCCCTCCCAACCCTCTCTCCCAGCACCATCCTCTCCTAACCTCCTCCCAGCACCACCCTCTCCTAACCCTCTCCCAGCACCATCCCTCTCTAACCTCTCCCAGCACCATCCTCTCCTAACCTCTCCCAGCACCACCCCCTCTCCTAACCTCTCCCAGCACCATCCTCTAACCTAGCACCACCCTCCCCTCTCTCCCCAGCACCATCCCCTCTCCTAACCTCCCAACTCCCTCCCAGCACCACCCTCTCCTAACCCTCTCCCAGCACCAACCTCCCCCAGCACCATCCTCTCCTAACCTCTCCCAGCACCATCCCTCTCCTAACCTCTCCCAGCACCATCCTCTCCTAACCCCTCCCAGCACCATCCTCTCCCATCCCTCCCCAGCACCATCCTCTCCCTGTCTCCCAGCACCATCCTCTCCCTAACCTCTCCCAGCACCATCCTCTCCTGTCCTCTCCCCAGCACCATCCTCCCCAACCTCCTCCCAGCACCATCCTCTCCCTAACCTCTCCCAGCACCATCCCTCTCCTAACCTCCCTCCCAACCTCTCCGCACCAACCCTCTCCTAACCCTCTCCCAGCACCACCCTCTCCTAACCTCTCCCAGCACCACCCTCTCCTAACCTCTCCCAGCACCATCCTCTCCTAACCTCTCCCAGTACCATCCTCTCCTAACCTCTCCCAGCACCATCCTCTCCTAACACCATCCTCCCCTAGCTTCTCCCAGCAATGTACTCCTCCAACCTCTTCCAGCACTGTGGTCTCCTAGGCTCTCCCAGCACTGTGATCTCCTAGGTTCTCCCATAACCGTGGTCCCCTAGGCTCTCTGTCAGTCACTGTCCTCTAGTCACCATTGTTGTTGCTTAGTCAATGTACAAGGCAGGCATTCATTTCCCTTCTGGTGGCCTCCCGACCTCACTCAGGCAACGTCTGTGTGTTGCCTCTCAGGTGTGTTATGGTAGTGGCTGTGTGTTGCCTCTCAGGTGTGTTATGGTAGTGGCTGTGTGTTGCCTCTCAGGTGTGTTATGGTAGTGGCTGTGTGTTGCTGGTGTGTTATGGTAGTGGCTGTGTGTTGCTTGGCAGGTGTGTTATGGTAGTTGCTGTGTGTTGCTTGGCAGGTGTGTTATGGTAGTTGCTGTGTGTTGCTTGGTGGTGTTGGTGGTAGTGGCTGTGTGTTGCCTCTCAGGTGTGTTATGGTAGTGGCTGTGTGTTGCTTCAGGTGTGTTATGGTAGTTGCTGTGTGTTGCTTGGCAGGTGTGTTATGGTAGTTGCTGTGTGTTGCTTGGCAGGTGTATTATGGTAGTGGCTGTGTGTTGCTTGGCAGGTGTGTTATGGTAGTGGCAGGTGTGTTATGGTAGTGGCTGTGTGTTGCTTGGCAGGTGTGTTATGGTAGTGGCTGTGTGTTGCCTCTCAGGTGTGTTATGGTAGTGGCTGTGTGTTGCTTGGCAGGTGTGTTATGGTAGTGGCTGTGTGTTGCTTGGCAGGTGTGTTATGGTAGTTGCTGTGTGTTGCTTGGCAGGTGTGTTATGGTAGTTGCTGTGTGTTGCTTGGCAGGTGTGTTATGGTAGTGGTTGTGTTGTGGTTTGGTTAATTAGTTTTCAGTAGTTACGTTCTAGTAAACTTTTGTGTAAATAATTAAATCTAATGTAATTGGGCCCAAACTTAATATATTATTCTTAATTATATATCAGGATTTATTAGTTTTATTTTACAATGAATAAACTTTTTAAAATATAATGCAAAGTACAAAGTTACCTGATCTGCCTTTAAAATATTTCTTTATTAGCTACAGGGAATTTGTATTATTTGACAACCATCTCCATCATTAACTCCAGTCAGTTGTTTCATCCTGTGAGTAATATGCCCAGAAGAACTCTTGGAACTTTCGATTTTGACGTCAGCAAGTGTCAGCGTCGGTGGCTGTCAGACCAAGTGTTGTCAGGATCCCTCAACACTTCAACCCACCCGACCTCCTGTGTTTAGTGGCTGGCGATGTGACAAGTTCCTCTGAGGTCCTGTTTTGACCCGGCAAGTTCTGTTAACATGAGGCAGTTCTTCCCGCCCCACTGCAGCCTCTTCCACAACACAGGTAGTGGCACTGAGGACCAACAATATAGTACTGACAAACTTGACCAACATTACTGTTACTTGTCTTCTAGCCAACAGTGGTTTGGTGAGACGCACGAATTCTAACGTGAATATCATGACGCTACACAATGAACCTTGACTCCTGGGCTCACCGAAGCTGCAGGTGAGGAAACTTCTACTCTCCTATATGGTGAGGATAATTGGCTCCCATACAAGTTATCTCAAACCCTAAATTGTTTAGTCATTTAAACTATTATATAGGCTCTTGATTCAAGTGGTCACAACGTCTTTTTAATTCAACCAAAGAATATCTTGGTCAAATATTTATCAAGTCAGCTCGTAAGTTAGACAAATATAATTGATACCATAATTGTAAAGATTACTCAGTTCGTCACGTTACTACAACACACGTCCTCTGGCCACACTCTTTAAGTATTACGGATGGCCTGCTGGTCTGTTGACACACCTCGTCTCACTAAGCTACACTACAGTCTCGCTATAAGAAGTTCTCAATTCTTATTCTTATTTTGTTTTCTTTTTTGCCCAATGAGGACTACAATCATCATCGGTTTACTCAACATCTGGTCACCTGGTTTAATCTCTTTCCTTGAGTCTGAAGTTCAACCATTTTATTATGGAATGACAGCCTCATAGATCTCTCAGGTGCCATACTGTACACTTATTTCAGGCAAGCGTTGTCAACTTACATTCCAACTGTAACGTTTGTACGCGAATGAAATCCAAGGACCAGTAATGGTGGTGACCCGAGATGTGTTGTTGATGCTTCACCGTCATTAACTCATTCACGTCGTTGTTGTTTATTTACTGTACAGCCCCACACGATAACGAGGCGTCAGTCCCCTTCTTGTCTCACTCCTCCACTCTTAGCCTCGCGGGTATGTCACCATCATCCTGGGTAACTGATACACTGTTGAGATACTGAACCTGATGTACAATGTTCACGTCTTAATTTATTGGGTAAAAAAAGCCTCAGTGTGTTTGGTATCATCCTATACTGAAGCCTCCCCACCCATCACCCTAAGTTGTGTTGTGATAACCAAACTTTCTCGACGCACACAACACTCGCCTCTCCAAACACTGTGTTCTCCCTGCCTAAATCTTCCTCTTCTTCTATTTCCCAGCGTTTCCCAGCAACATGTTTCCCCAGCCTCTCCCAGCAACGTGTTTTCCCCAGTCTCTCCCAGCCACGTGTTTTCCCCAGCCTCTCCCAGCAATGTACTCCCTCCATCTTCCAACCTTTCCCAGCCACATATTTTCCCAGCCTCTCCCAGCAACATGCTCTCCCACCCTCTCCCTCCATCTCCCAGCCTCTCCCAGCACCGTGCTCTCCCTGCCTCTCCCTGTCACAGCGTACGAGGCTCCATTTGCGACTTGTCAGGGAGCCGGGAAAAGTTTCTGATGAAATTTGCATGTGGATCACAACCCACAAGTTTGTGTCGTGTCCTCTGGTGGTGGAGGTGGAGGTGGAGGTGGTGGAGGTGATGGTGGAGGTGGTGGAGGTGGTGGTGGTGGTGGAGGTGGTGGAGGTGGAGGTGGAGGTGGTGGAGGTGGTAGTGGTGGAGGTGATGGTGGAGGTGGTGGAGGTGGTGGTGGAGATGATTTTTTTGGTGGTGGTTAGTAGCACTTGGTGTTGGTGGTAATGGTGGTGGTGATGGTGGTAGTAGTGGTGGTAGGTAGTGTTAGGTGGTAATGGTAGTGTTAGTGGGTAGTTTTGGTTTGATTGTCAGTGATTGTGGTGGACTGGTTATTATTATTATTATTATTATTATTATTATTATTATTATTATTATTATTATTATTATTATTATTATTATTATTATTATTATTATTATTATTATTATTATTATTATTATTATTATTATTATTATTATTATTATTATTATTATTATTATTATTATTATTATTATTATTATTATTATTATTATTATTATTATTATTATTATTATTATTATTATTATTATTATTATTATTATTATTATTATTATTATTATTATTATTATTATCATCTTTGGTCATCTTTTCTTCGTAGTCACAGTAATCAACCACAAAAATATTTATACCTAGAAAAAACTTATTAGGTAAATTAACCAAATAACTTACAATATAACATTAAATAAATAAAAACACACACATATTAGCTCCAACAATTGTCTCCTCCTGGTTTTGAAATATTTACCCATAAACAAATCTTAAAAAAAAATCATCAACCTTTTCGAATTTATATCATTGCAAAATTTACGTCATAGAACAGAAAAAATTTACCAGGGCTGTTTTCTAAAAAATTCTTCGACAAAACGTTAAAAATATGTTGTCTATAGAGGCGGTATAGAATTCACAGGTTCAGGGCTTCACAGTTAGTTCATAATGGTGTCATTCAGTCGTAACTCTGTCTGTGTATTTGTGATGTCTTGTTAACGACTCATTACTCACAGCTTTACAACATTTGATTCTTCATGAGCTTCTTACGTCACAGGTTCATAATGTAATGAACGATTGAGTCACTTTTCACATTTCTTCAAAAACGTCAAAATATATAAATGCATCTTTGTTAACATTTGCTTTATCTTATCTCTTATCATCATTACATCTATTTACTAACACTGTTATCTGTATTTGGGTCTAATTTCATCATCTAATTATCATCTATTTATCTTTTACTTTCCAAACAGAAATTAAAACCACATTCATTTGTCTATCATTCCAGCGTTCGAGTCCATCCAGCGTTTGACTCCATCCAGCGTTCGAGTCCATCCAGCGTTCGAGTCCTGTTTCTGGATCACCTGTGGTCATCTGTCCATGACCACAGTACCACCTGCCATTTGTTGTGTAGCAGGTGAGTCAACACAGCTGGTCCACTAGAGGGGCGGGGTGGTGGTTAATGCTCCAGCTGGTGTTACTCTTATGCGTTTGGTCTATTTTACCTCCGTCAATCCTCCTCTAATTTATATGGCCTTAATATTGTTTACTTGACCCTACTCTAACTCAACTGGCACTACTCTAACTCAACTGGCACTACTCTAACTCAACTGGCACTACTCTAACTCAACTGGCACTACTCTAACTGAACTGGCCCTACTCTAACTCAACTGGCCCTACTCTAACTCAACTGGCACTACTCTACCTTAGATGTAACGTACTTTAGCTCATCTAGTAGTGACTAACACACACACACACACACCACTAGGGGAGGAGGAGGACAGACTGAACCTACAAATAGCGATCATTGAGAGCAGTGTTCCCCGGGAGTGACAAAAATGTAATTACTATTTCCACGAAAAACCACATAAACTGGAGAAGCTATTGTCATGGGCTCCGTAGCACTATACATTCTAGTAACTGAGGGATAGCAACACAAAATAGCATTGCCATATTGCCAAGGAAATAGGACTAGCATTCTCCATCATTCAATTTAAATACAGCAAAAATATACTAGAAACATTGTTGCCATGGTGATAGATATTGGAAACGTCATTCTTAATTTACATAATAACATAAAAATAAACTTGAAACTGATTATTAATGATTATTGAATTAGCTACCAGACCATAAGTATCCCACACACAAAACTACTACATGTGTTTATCGCTTAACAAATGGTATTATTCACTATAAATAAAGTACCGTAAATTTTTGCATATAGATATACATTCTCCACCTATTTATAGAACATATATCATAATAGGCTGCCTAATCTCTCTCTCTCTCTCTTGGAAGTGTACCTCACCCACGATACATACTATCAGTTAGGTCAAGAAAGGTCGATAATTGGTTAAAAATACGTAAATAAGAAGAATTAATATGGATTTAATTGTTTCGTTATAACCCAGAGACAGAGAAAGAGAGAGAGAGAGAGAGAGAGAGAGAGAGAGAGAGAGAGAGAGAGAGAGAGATCAACAAACGTAAAAGGGCTCACACGGTAACAAAACAAATGAGCGGCGACAAATTTACGCGGGAGAGATTCGTCTTGTCAACACCTCCACCCCACTCTACCGTAGGTGGGAGTGAGGTGGATGGGGTGGGGCGGCCAGCATGAGTGTTAATTAGTCCACTCTACCGCAGTTAATCTCTCTTTTACCGCTCTGCATTAACACTGTCCCGGATAAATCGAGAGAGGGGGGTAAAATGTTACAATATTTTACACAAGATTTACTGATGGTTCGCTATGATGAGAGTGAGAGAGATGTTATTAACTGTATAAGCTAATGATGTTGGTGTCTAATGCATTGTTTTTGTTGATGTTTATGTTTTTACTGTTGTTTGTTGTTTACACTGTGACTGTTGTTGTTGTTTCCATTGGTACTGTAGTTGTCGTTCTTGCTGGTGCTGTTACAGACGTTTCAGTAGCTCTACCTGGTGAGGGAGAGGGGGCTACATTAAGCTTCCATTCGGTACCTGCATTTGGACATCATCGTGTTGTTTGACCAGCTTAAAGTTAGTAAGTTTATTTCTCTCTATATATATTACCTGTACACATGTTTTTGAAGCTTAATTGGTTAAGTGTTATAGCTAGAGACATAAGCTCACTTTCTTTCTTTCTTTCTTTCTTTCAGCAGTCTGGAAGGGTGATGTGTCTACTTCCATCTTTAACATTGTGTAAATACCTCACCTTGGCGATCTAACCATCATTATAGACATCGAATAACACGTATCCTCTCCCGCTAATGGTGGTCACTTGTGTCGCATTATGAAGCTTCGTTTAATATCATATCCGTGTAGTGAAGATGAGGCAGCATTAAACGTATAGTAGGTTAGGTTAGGTTTTCTTTCCTGTGAGTTGTTTTGATAGATTTGTGTATGGGTGGTGATGACTAATGAGAGTGTGTGTTTAGGTAGGTAGAGGGGGAAGAGGAGGCGGGAGTGGTGGTAGAGGGGAGGGAGAGAAGGGAGATAGGGAAGTGAGGGAGGGAGTGAGGCGAGGGAGGCCGCGGCAGTGGTGTGTGGCAACCCTCTGTGGTGTCAATACCAGCTGCTGAGTAATGGAGTGCCCTCACAGAATCAATCACAACCTGGTGCAGTTATTATCTTCCGCCCCGCCGCCCACACACACCGCCCACACACACCGCCCTACCGCCCCACCGCCCACACACACACACCACCCCACCGCCCACACACGCTGCCCACCGCCCCACACACACACCACCCCACCGCCCACACACGCCGCCCCACTGCCCACACACGCCGCCCACACCACACACACACACACCACTGCCCCCACACACACATACACACCACCGCCCACACACGCCGCTTTTACAAACATAAACATAGTGTTTTAAATTCTGAACTAGGGCTTTATACAGAATGTCTTGCTTTACAAATACAAACACTCACGTAATGTTTTTTTCTTGTTTTGTTTAGATCATTAATGTTTAGTCCGCTTTTAAAACACAGAATTAATGTTTTTGTTTTGTTTCTCACTTTACAAACACAAACATTAGTATATTTTATTGGACTAGTTTATTTTACACTTGTTTATGTTATCTGTATAAATGTTTGTAACGTTTTAAATTACAGAATTAATGGCTGAATCTATATATGTTGCAAATATAAATATCAACTGGTTTTTTTTTAATACACCAGCTTGTGATATCTCTGTAAATGTGATGATGTTTTGCAGTGAAGAATTAAGAGTAAACTGCATGTAATAGCGTTTGACAGATAAACACAGAAACTGCTTTTCAATACTGGATTACGATTTTCTGTTCAATAGTCTTATTCTCGAGGGAATGTATTGATATAAGTCGTAATTCTGTCTGATCAAAATACTAGGTGACTCTATAGGTGTTCAGATGTATGAATTTAGTTTATATAACTTGTATTTATGCTCTAATATCATCAATGTAACCCCCCAAAAAAAAGTTCCCACGTCTGTTATATCCAGGTGCTAAAATCCCAAGAGTCGATGTGTTCAAACCCTCGACATATTGTCCCCCTTAAAAAGACCAGGATAAAACTCTACCTACAAGCCTCCAGTTCACATAACATCCACCAACAACGTCCACATCCCTCCTCCACACCTCCACGTTCATAAGTATTCTTCGACAGGTTCAATAATCTTTTCACCACAAACCACTAACTTATGATATACCACATAACACAGTCACTTTCTTTCTTTTTTTGCTTCAGTATAAGATGCAAGAATTCTACCTCAACGCTTTTTAAATCCATCGTCTTGTCGTCATCACTTTGAAGATTCGTCTCACCAACTTCCACAACAAGTCCACAGACATTCTTACAAACTTCGTATTCAATAAAAACCACTGAGTCAACCCACCTCGTCCAATCTTCCATTAATATCGTTCTTTAATATGTTTACAAAACTACTCCAGCAACGTGTACAAAATAACCCCAAAATCGACACACTATCCACAAAATCTCTCCCTCTTTTGAAGACGTCCTAAAATACCTCTCCTACACACTCCCAAAACCCAGCTCTAACATGTCAGCCCCCCAAAAAACCTTTACACAAAACCTTAAAAATCCTGACTCAACAGGGCCAAAATCCCTCTCCCTCTCACACACACACACACACACACTCTCTCTCTCTCTCTTCAACCCAAAATCCACACACCGCACCAGACCAGCCAGGCCCCAAAACACGGGCATAAAGACGACCAACACGGTGTGACACTTTTGACACTTCGTTAGAACCTCCGGAATCGAAATATTCGGACCAGTAAAATCTGCATATGTGCCGAGGGTTGGGAGCGAGGCGTCAGGGCGAGCGAGCGGATGTCAATACCTCTGACAGTCTGCTAGTCACGACGAAATCAAATTTGTAACTGAGTTGACAGGGAGAGACAGCGCACCGGGGGAACGTCCGACTGTGATTTCTCAGCTTTTCATGTACATATATATTTATATATCTCTCTAGCGTGTGTTTTGTGGATGGCTGATAGTCAAGCAAATGCAGTTAAATTGTTAAATACACTCTAGTGTGTGTGTGTGTGTGTGTGTGTGTGTGTGTGTGTGTGTGTGTGTGTGTGTGTGTGTGTGTGTGTGTTATTCAAGGTCTGAGGTTTCAATTGTCTGTTATCTTTTGAGGGAAAATTTGACTGTGATTTCTCAGATTTTCGTGTTGTGTGTGTGTGTGTGTGTGTGTGTCCTGTGTCCGTGTATATATGTGTGCGTGTGTCCATGTGTGTGTGTGTGTGTGTGTGTGTGTGTGTGTGTGTGTGTGTGTGTGTGTGAGACCAGGAAGATAACGTTCAGTGACTCTGTGTGGTAAATATTTCTACTTGGTTGTAATGTTATAAATGTTTGTGTTTGTTTTGTGTGTGTGTGTGCGTGTGTGTGTTTATGTCGCTATAATGTTAGAGCAATAATATATTAACACCTGACTCTTCTTATTTAAATGACGGTAATGTTAGGTTAGATTAGGTTAGGTTAGGTTAGGTTAGTTTCCTCGATTTTAACAATTTATTATTTTATTTGCTTATTTGCACCGTGATTTTTAGACATTCGTAAAACACACCAAAAAAAAACTTGCCTTCTTATTTTCACTTTTCAGTTTATTTCTATCACGAATATTTTAATCAACTCAACAATTTGATTCAAATAGGTATTGGAAAGAAGCTATTCATCAGTAGTCATCAACAGGGCTAGCTGATGTTGACGTCAATGTGTGAAAGTCTTCATATCAGTCATCAATAACACTGTTCTTCATGCGTCTTGTGAGGAGAGAGAGAGAGAGAGAGAGAGAGAGAGAGAGAGAGAGAGAGAGAGAGAGAGAGAGAAGAATAGAGAAACTACATACATAAATACATACATGAATAACCATACATATAAACACAATGATAAAGAGACGAACAAATAAAGAGAGGATAAGATAAG